CCTCACTTCTCACGGGCGGGAGTGTCCTTCGGAGACGGTGTCAAACTTCACATCTTCATGGAGAGGCCGATCAGGAGTAGGGGCTCGCACGCCTCACAAGCCCCCTCGAGACTGGGTAGCAGGCAGAGGGAGGGTGGCCCCGGGCTCAGCAGGCTTCGCTGTGCTATCCCAGGAAGGAACAAGTGGGGCTGAGTTAAATGGCCTAGGAGGAGCCCAACTGGATGACGCCAGGGCCTTGGGCATCCGGCCGTCCTCTGCGGAGTGCAGGGCAGGAGAGATGGGTCCTGACCACGAGACCCTGATCAAGGAGAGGACTGGGGTGTGTGCACTTGACTGCCTGGACTGTATTGGGTCTCCTGCTGATGGGGATAGGATGGTGACAAGGAAGCAGGAAGACACGGCCAGGTGACCCAAGCCCATGCTGGGCCTGTCCGGGACAAGGCGTGCCCTCCACATGCATGGAGGACAGATGTTACAGCTTCCTTTCCAGGAGGAAGAAACATGGCTAAATCAAGGGTTCAGCCCAAACGCCACCTCCTCTGGGAAGCCTGCCCTGCCTGTGCCACCTACTGTGACCGTTTCCTGCTAGCCTCAAATCTCCTTCCTCGTTTCCTGCTTCATCCCCTGCTCCTGTTCCTGGTCCTGCTCTGTCCAGCAGCACCTCCTGAGGCTCTGACCTCACCCGGAGTCAAAGTGTTCATGGCAGCCTGTGGAGCACCTGCTGTGCTTGTCCTGTCTCCCAGTCCTGCCCTCCTGTCCCTGGAGCCTGACTTGGCCTCCACAGCCCTGAGTTCCTCGGTGGTGGCGCTGTGTCCCCAGGCACGATTGGCTTGCTGTTTCTCAAGTCTCCCTCCCTGCTGAGCTGGATCTGGATCCACAGTGAGGAAACAGCTCCCCCGGTGCCCGGTGCCCGAGGCAGGCGTTCTGTTGGTAGTTGGTGGCCTTCACTCACCCAGCACTGGCTCACTGAGGCCCTGCCGCTACCAGCCAGGATCCAGACACCAGGGCAGGGAGTGAATCGGGCGGAGCTCTCTTCCTTCTGGGCCTGCAGCCTGTTGGGGGGAGACAGTAACTCTGTCAGTGGTGGCATGGACCATGGGAAGATAAGATCAGGAAGGATTTAAAGACAAGCCCTGGTGGACAGCATGCTCCAGGCTAAGAGAACAGCCAATGGCAAGACCCTGAGGCTGGGTGGTCTGTAGGACTAAGCCTTTGAGTTTCCTGTCTGGAGTCCTAGGGTTATGCTGCATGTGGCTTTCGTTGGTTATCCTTTCTGCCTCATCTTACCTGTAAGGTTCACTCACTTGAGCCTGGGTCTCTACTCTTTTTAATTCAGTGAAATCTCCAGTGATTCAAAGTGGAAATGGAAGGATGAGTAAGTCAGCTCAGCAGGTGTTCACTGAGCAGCCTACCCAGACACAGGGCTGGGCCAGGTCTGCTTTTCTCTCTTTGGCCCATGGAATGAAGATGTGGACCATTCCTTAAAAGGGTTAACACCCTGAGGGGTCACATGGCTAACCCCTGCAGGAGACCCCCAGCAGCTCTTGCTTGAATTCGCTGGATCTGAGATCAGGGAATTTTGGAGTGTTTAGAGTCTTTTATGTGATAGGAAATAGGCCTTGGCAGTTAGCCTAAATCCCCCTGTCCCAGTTCCAAGGAGCACCATTTGCTAACAGGAGCACCCAGCACTCTTAGGATGACCCATGACAGAAAACTGAATTCAAAGTGACTTCCTCAAGCAACCAAGAAGTCAAAGAGGGGTGGTGTCCGGGGAGGCCGTACCTGGGTGCTGGGTGGTGTCCCCAGGGTCTGCCTTTCCTGACCTCCTGGCTGTGCTGGTGTCTTCCTTTCCTTCAAGATGGCACCAGGAGCACCAACTGCCTCAGAAGCCCAACAGACACAGAACTTCTCTTCCCCCAGGGTTCCACCCCTGAGGCTTACTCCAGGGGACCTGATTGGTCACTTAAACACTGAACTTAGTCATGTGACCACTGTTTCTGGGGTAACTTGGGAGCTGCTTTCTCTGTTTCAGGCCGTACTGTCCCCTGCTTACAGAAAAACTCATGGTGGTAACTTCTCCGAACTGTTGGGGTTTGGGTCTGACTTCAGTTCTCCTTGAGTCCTATTGTTGTCGGCCATCCAGTCAACAGGCATTCCCCAAGTTACCTATTGTGGTATTTTCCACCTGAGACTACCTACCCACCAGAGGACAGACTCAGAAACACGGAGAAGTGCAAAGGGAGGCGTTCGTCGTTGTCGGGTCTTTGAGAGTGGCACCTAGCAGGTGGAAACTGGCACTGCCCTCCAAAATTCAATTCTTTCATTTCTACCTCGCAGAGGTCCCTTTGCCCTAGTTCCTCATTTATTGAGCAACTTGGGAGGTGCAATCTAAACCCACAAAGGGTCCGAGGAGGTTGGGTGTGTGTTTGTTGGGGCAGGGGGACTGGGATGGGATGAGTGTTACTGGGCAGATTTGAGAAAAAGGGTCCAGGAGATGGGGAGAGCAGTGACACCATTGTATCAGCCAGATCACCATGATTCCAGGCACAGAGATGGGAGAGCGGCTTTGTGATGAACAGCTGCTGGTTACAGAATTGCTGATGGTTTTGAAGTCAACCACTGGTACAAGGTTTGCAAAGCAACTCAGCAGCTGAACGACTTTGGGGTTCTTGCAACTCTATCCTGAGTCTCCAGAGGCCTGGTATTACAGCTGCGCCAAGGTAAGCTGAGTATTTCATGGAAACACTGGGTGGGGACGAGAATGCCTCTGGAGATGTGTGGGTTAGTGGTCAGAGGCAGCCCGTGGGAGGAAATGACAGCTGGGCAGAAGCCTGGAGAAAGTTAACAGTCAGGACCAGTGCTCGATGGGAAAGAGTGTCTGAGGCAAAGCTCATGTATTTCTAGAAGTTAGAGCACGTGTCAAGTCCCCTGAGAAGGGACTGACTGGCAAACTTTCTGGAAGGAGCTTCATTTTTTGGGCTTACTGCTCAACCTCTACATTCTCACCGAGAAACAGCTGCTGATACAGTATACATGAGTTGACCACAGTACAGTTCCAATGAAACTTCATTTATGGACACTGGAACTAAATTTTAGGTGATGTTCCCACATGATGAAATAGCACACTTCTTGGATTTTACCCTTCCATTTTAGGAGTTAAAAGTCCTCTTAGCTCATGGGTTCTGCAAAAACACAGCAGCAGGACCATTTTGGCCTCTGGTGGTAGTTGGTCGAGCCCTGTTCTTGGAGGAATGGGGAGGAGCCTGGTGGGGTTGGGGGACAGTGGGGAAGGAAATGATCAGAGATGTGGCAAGGGACAGAAGGAGGGTTGTGTCCACCTGCTTCAGCTGTGTGGACTCCAGTATCCCTGGGTAGATGGCTGGCTGGATAGCCAGGGACCGGGGCTAAGAGCCATCCAGAAGCAATGAGCTGTGCCTGAGCAGGCACCTGGAGGCTGCTGTGCTTTTACTCCGCCAACCCTGAGCCATTGTATGTGGATTCCTGTCCCTCTCGGCCTTCCGCTCTCTCCTTAGCAAAGTTTGGGAACTTGAGCTCCTGGAACCATCTCAGCTTGGCTGCTGGGTGGTTCTCTTTGCGTACCTTGCTCCAACTGCCAGTCGGCCTGGCAGCACCACAGATAGCAACCATGATCCTGACTTTGGCGCCCATCTGTCCCTGAGTCCAGGTCTGGGCTTCCCTGGATGTCCAGACCAGAGAAGGTTCTGGGCTCTTTATGGTAGTGAGGTCCCCAGCATGCAAGTTGTGTTTGCTGCAGAAACTTCCTGTCTTGGGCTTTTGCACACTGAGTGCTAGGTTTGGGCCTCTGAAAGGGACGTGGAAGGAGGCCCCCCGGGGAGGGGAGGAGGGTGATGTGAGGGGGCTGTGACACCATCTGTTATCCACCTTTTTCTCCTTACACTGTTCCCCTGCCTCCCACCCTTTCTTCTGTCACAGCTAGATGGGCAGTGGCTCCAGAGAGGCTCAGAGTCGCTTGCTATGCTGGCTGCAGGGATGACTCTGAGGAGTGTTTGGGGGGAGGCCTCTCTGTCACTTCTGGGTGAGCCTGTTTCTCTTTATTCTCAGTCCCCCTTCCCTCAATTCCGAGTTGGTCATCACATTAGGCGGAGTGCTCCCCCCTTTTGCTGTGCGTGCTCTTCTCACTCACTGGGCAGTTCCTCCCGCTCCCTCGGCTTCGTTCTCGCGTCCTCATCAGTGAGATCTCAGCACAGGGAGGGGATGGCTGGCCTGCGTTCAAGGTCAGGAATCATCAATTCTCCGCATCCTAGTTCTGCATCTGTGGGTTCAACCCTGTGGAGTGAAAATGTACAAGTCGATCACATCTCGATTGGACTTGTCCAGACGTTTCCCTTGGTGTTATTCTCTTACCCATACAGCAGAGACAACGGTTCCTCCCGCATGCCCATTGTATGCTGTTTGTCAATCATCAGAGATTATAGCAACCCTCTGTTGGAGGATTGCGTGGGGAAAATGCAAGTACCAGGCCATTCCCACACAGAGGACTTGGGTTTTGTGTGCCCAGTGGGCCTGGACCCAGTCCTCCTTCAAGAGGTGCCACTGTATCCTTTCTTCCTTGAAACTATAACTTACATAAGGACAGAGACCAGGGAGTGGAAAATAGATCGCAGTTCTCTCCACTCAACCAGGAGACCCCGACCCCTGTGGCCCCACAGCACAGCCGGTTCCAACTCTGGGGAGCCAGGGAGAGGCACTTAAAGGGAACACGGAGAGTATGAGCGGAGCCTGGTGCAGGGCTGCCGCTCACTAACCACTGCTTACCAGAGAGGAGGAATCTTCCTCCGCCATACCAAAGGTAAGGCTCCAGTGCTTAACAAGCGCTTGAAGCTCAGAGTAACCCTGCCCCTAGAGCGGCCCCACTCCTCCCCACCGGAGCCCCGCCCATCCTGGCGACTGTTGGACGACTGCCTGGTGGGCAGTGCCGCGTGGTCGTGTTAACCGTGTTAACCGACAAACGGGCTGATGGAGGCGGCTTCGGAGCGGGCGCGGGGGCAGACCTCGTGGGCCGAGTCCCGTGACTATCCACCGCGGTCTCTTGCAGGTATCCACGCGCACAGGGGATCTGACCCCGGCCCAGCCTCCCCAGCTCTGGGTCCCTTCTAGTCTCACCTGACTTCTGTCTCGCTCAGCCGGAGCCAGTTCCGCCTCCACTGACTCACTGCAAGTTCTAGCCCTGAGCTCAGGCCACGATACCAATATCTGTTCGTGTCTTGTTGGGGTTCTAGCCAGCCTTGCCCTTGCCAGCTCAGGCTCTGGCTGGTGCTGGGTCCTCGCCTCTACTACCATTCCCCAAATGACAAATGCCCATGGTGGCCGAGTTGGCACAGCTCCCCCCACCTCTGGCGGGCCTCCCTTAGCCACCCTCATCCTCTTGTACCTTCCCGGAACTGACTCCTGCCAGCCACTGCTCTCTACCTGTCCTTTATCCACAGGTTCCCTAAATCCCAGGGTAACTCACTGTGTGCCAGGAGGAGTCCTAGCCCTACCCCAGGAAGGGAAGGCAGGAGGAGAAGGCTGGGTGTTCTGGGAGAGGCAGGGTTACTTGTTGGGAGTCTTCATTTTCCCCTAGCCAGGAGGACCAGCAAGTGGGGTATGCAGCATGCCCCTCTGCCATCCTGGCACAGGAAGGATGAGGATAGGATAAGTCCATGTCCTTCATGGCCAGCATTCATTGGCATGACCTGGAAGAGGACCCGAGGGCTCTGTGCAGGGCCAGGGGTGGGCCTTTGAGCACAAGACCCCAGTGAACCCTCAGCTGGGCCCACCCACACCTGCACCCCAACTGCAGGTCTGCTCTAGATTCACTTCAATGCTGGTCTTGCCCATGAAGCTGGGGAGGAGCTAGGGCAGAGCTCCTGCATCCTCTAGAAAAAACAGGAGTGCACTCAGTCACGCCCTCCTGCCCACGATGGGAGCTGAAGTCAGGAAGTTAACGTTGAGGGTGCACCTGTGGGCTAGTCCCGCCCACGATGGGAGCTGAAGTCAGGAAGTTAACGTTGAGGGTGCACCTGTGGGCTAGTCCCGCCCACGATGGGAGCTGAAGTCAGGAAGTTAACGTTGAGGGTGCACCTGTGGGCTAGTCCCGCCCATGATGGGAGCTGAAGTCAGGAAGTTAACGTTGAGGGTGCACCTGTGGGCTAGTCCCGCCGGTGCTTTGCAAGGCTAACTCCCTACCTGCTGCCTTCACTTTGGTCCAAAGCCAGTGATGAGGTTTACCTTCAACATGGAGAAAACTGCTTCTGCTTTTGATGGACCTTGATTTTTTGGGGGGGAAGGCAGCGTTGGTGGGATGGTTCTTAAAGTGAGCCACTAGGATGATTGATTTTGGCTTTTCCTGGTAGGTGGGGCCTGCCTGGGTCTATACTGTGCCGTCTTTAGTCCTGCTCTGTCTTCCTGGTGAAGGGAATTTCTCATTACTTAGTGACTGCCTCCATGCATAATGGTACTACTTATCTTGAGTTTTCTGATGTTAAGCCAAGGACATCAGAAAACACCCACCAGGTGACACAGGCTCTCCCTGGCCTCCTTGAAAGCTCTTAGCTCTTACAGCATCTTGCAGCCTTGCTTCTGTCAGTCGGATGCTTCCCCCAAGGGCCTCTGCCAGTTAGATCTCTGTGTGGCCAAGCTTCAGGAGGCCTCCGACTGACATCTCTTCAGCTGGTTATATAAAACTCTAGGTTCACTCTTTTTCCATCAAGTCCTGAGTATTTCTGTGCATATTAGTCAGTATTGGTGTAGATTGTCCAGTGTATGGAAGACCAGAGTTAGACCGGGCCACTGCATGGAGGCCAACTGACCAAATGCACATAAAGGTTGTTTGTCCATACGCTTCGTACCCATGTTGTGGACACATCTAGGTGTCACAAACCCAAACTTTTTTTTTTATAGCATAACATTCTTGTTTTTTAATATTTTGTTTTATAATACAATTCCATAGGCTCTGGGGTTACCCATGCCCTTCCCCAAGGTCCCTCCTCCCCCAGTGATTTCCCCTCTAGTTTTACAATGGGTGTCCTTCATGAACAGTCATAAGTCCATCACGTGGTCATTGAAGTGTTTCCCGACAGTGTCAGAGTCCAGCATCATACCGTTAGGCTGTATTCTTTCCCTGGGAGTCCATCGCTGGTCTGTATGCACAGACATACAGCACTTTGTCTCCATATCTGAACAGATCAGTCCCCGCTATGCTTCCATTATACATCCCCTGAAATACAGAGCCAGTGAGCACAGTCTACAACAGGGTGGGAATAATACATTTTCATCAACGTGAAGTTAACAAACATGCTATAAGAAATACCAACGCATTGCAAGAGTGATGAAAATGGGAATCAAAAACCTTGTAGGAATAGTTGCCAGTGTGTGAGCCCTGTCGTGCTGCAGGAATTACAGCCTTCTGTCCTTCCACAGGAGCCTTCCCTCACCCCAGTCAGTGACACTACATTTGCAACCATGTGTTGTGGAACCCAGACCCTCGTGTCACTCTGGCCTCTGCCATCATCCTGCTCAATGCACACAGGTACAGAGCCAGCATCCAGCCTGAAAGGAAGGTAAAGCTGGAGGATGTTGCCAAAGACCCCCAAGGTGAGCTCTCCGGGAGGCCCTCTTGGCTGCCCAGAGGTGTGGCCATCCCTACACCTGGTCTAACCCTCACCCCCACTCACCATGCACCTGCTGGCCTTGGGCAGGGCTATGAAACATCTTAGGGATGGACAGCAGGATCAGGGGTTGGGAGGCAGATTCCTCATCAACCCCAGTTCTGTTTCTCCCCTCCCCGCTGGCCAGAGGCTCCCCTCTCTCCTGAGTGTCCTAGGAGGAAGAGAGAACACGAAGTTGAGTTTCTTCTCAACCATCTACCCCTACCCTGCCCAGAGGGGGAGGGTTATATGTGCATGCTTGCGTGCGCGTTATGTATGAAAGGCCCCAGAAGTTAGGGCTGCAGAGGACTGACCATGCTGTGTTGCTATTACACATCCTTTGGTTGACCCACTCTCTGTCAGCAGAGGGCAGAGGCCAGCCTGCACCCCGAGATAGTTGGTGGGGGGGGTGCAAACTGAAGTTTGGAGCATCGGACCATACCAGCAGAGAGCTGGAATTGGGACCAAGCCCCGACACTGAAATGGAACATGGCACGCCACCTGGCAACCTAACTGCCAGGCCCGCTACCCAGCCCATCTTGGTAGTATCCAGCTGTTCATGCTTTCTCCTTGGTTCTCTAAGAGTACACTGTGTGCAAATGTGGATTCCGGCAGCCTGGGACTGGCCCAGATTTTCCCTTCTGTGGTGGACTTCCTCCCACTGTAGTCACCAAAGGGACTGTCCATGGCATCCGCTTCTACTGAGACTGAAATCGGGGCTTCAGGTGTGTTCCATCCTGGAGACAGTCTCGGCTGCACATCCGGGGAGTCTGCATTTTGTGGCTGGGGGCATGCGATCCTGACCGTGGCGGGGGTAGGCCCTAGTGGTCTCTGGTGCTGTTCAGGTGCTCCATTCTACTTCCCCCTCCTTCTCCTCCTCTGGTGGTTCGGTCCGTTACGGAGATTGAGCTATGGAAGTCTTCGATTGATGAAACACAGCCACCCGCTTGCCCGTCCACTCGCATTATTTTTTGCTTCACAGATTGGGATGTGGTGTGCTATTAAGTAAATACTTAAAAACTGTGGTATCTTCCTGCTGTATTGAACTGTGTGTTAATATTAATGTCCTTGTTTGTATCTTATAAGTTTTTTTATTATTATTATTATTGAAACCTTATCTTTTTCTGGCCTCCTCTGTTTGACTTGATTGCTGCATAGACTTTTTTTTTTTTTTTTACCTTTCCTATTTGCCTTTGTTGTGTTTGATCTGGAGTCTTGTTTGGGTGGCAAGTTGATTCTTGCTTTTCTCTCTATTGCATGGCTCCATGTTTGGTTTCGCCTTTTTTTTTTTTTTTTTTTAATTTACTATCACCTAGTCATTTAATTGAAATGATTTTCTTTACATATCACAGCTTTCTTAAAAAAGGATTTATTTATGTTTTTGAAAGGCAGACTTACAGAGAGAAGAGGCAGAGAGAGACAGAGACAGAGACACAGACACAGAGACAGAGAGGAGAGACAGAGAGTTCTCTTCCATCCATGGGGTCACTCCGCAAATGACCGCAATGGCAAGGGCGAGGCCGGCCCAAGCCAGGAGCCAGAAGTTTCTCCTGGATTTCTCACATGGTGTCAAGGACTCAAGCATTTGCAGGCACGGTTAGCAGGGAGCTGGATCAGAAGCGGAGAAGCTGAGCCTCAAACTGACAGTCTTAAGGGATGTGGTGGCAGCTTAGCGCACTGCACCACGGCACCAGCCTCTGACTTCACAGCTTTGAACGGATGGCAATATTTACTTCCTTTATACATATGATATACCTCCACATACATAGTATTTGTTTTTGAAAGCAGGGATATTAACTTCTCATCGAAAAATGGAATTCGTGGCAAGGATCATAAAGTGAGAAGAGATTATATGATACTGTGGAGGATATAGGTCAGCATTTGTGAACATCTGTGTGCCCCATGGTAGGGCGCATCTGTGTATTTTTCTTTATACCTTGTGTTACAGCTTACATATGAAAGGAAACATGGGATTTGTCTTTTGGTGTCTGGCTTACTTTACTGAGTGTAAGAATCTCTAGTTCCACTAACGTTGTGGCAAATGTCACAAGTCTTTCAGGGCTGCGTAACAGTCAGCTGTGCATCCATGCCACGCGCTTTGTGTGCAGTTGGCAGGTGGTGGCTGGCCAGGCTGACTCCAGGCCTTTTCTATTCCGAACTGGGCTGCCATGAGGGCCAAAATGCAGATCCTTCCTTTGGATATAGTTCCACAAGTGGGATATTTTGGTCATATGACCAAATCTGTTTATAGTTTCTTAGGGAAAACTTAAGGAAATCTCTGTACTGCTGTCTACAAAGGCTGCACTCATTTTTGAGTCCCATAGTATTTTGAGCTTCCCTTTTCTCTTTATTCTCTTCGGAATTTGTTATTATTTTTTACTTTAAAAAAAAATCGGAGCATTTAATTCAATTCTGTATAAAGCGACTGTTCGTGGAGAAGGCCTGACTGCTGTCCTTCGGCTGTTTGATTTCTGTTTCTGTATCTCTGGGTCCCTCGTCTCCTGCGTTACGGCCACCTCTGCTGTCTGAGTTTCCTGGTGACACGTTTGGCTTCTGTTGTCATCTGCTCCGGTGTGTTCTCCCTAGCTATTTTCTTTGTGATTACTGCGCAGGTTCCACCTGACCTCCCAGGGCTATGTCAGTCTGCTGTGAGCGTGCACCAACTGAACTTGAATGACGTGGGAAAACTCTGCTCCAACCCTTCTCAGACATCCATGGCACGAAGCTGCATCTCTAGGCATCGCGAGTGGGAAAGCATGGAGCAACCATGTGCTCACGGTAGTCCCTCCAGCTTCGTGTTCTGCCTGGACATACTCTGTTCAAGCAGGGCAGGTAGTGGTGACTCCCCAGGCTCCCCAGGCTGTGCTTTGAAGGCCAGGGCTCTCCATGCTTCTGGCTGAAACCTGAACATCAATGCAGCACTGGGGGTGAGGCTTAGGAGGCAGTGTGGCTCCAGAGGGTGACCCCCTGCTTCCTGGGCGACTGAAAGATCCCATGGAACTAAGCGGTCTTCTTCCACTGGATGAGCACACCAGGAAGGCAGGTTTTTTTTTTTTTCTTAAACTGACTTTGTAGTTTGGACTAAGACGTGGTACTTAAGCATTTCTTATGGGTGCTTACAGATGGATTAAGTTGGCCATACCAGGTCACCAGCCTTTCTGCTTGCTTGCCATTCTTTTGAAGGAGGCGCTCTCTTCAAAGCCTGGAATGAGTCCTTCCCAGCTCCTGAATTGGCCAGCGCCTTGATCTTAGGCCTTCCATCCTCGGGAACAACGAGAAGGAACATCTCATCTGGCTGTCAGCCATGTCAAGGTCTGGGAGGCTGCAGATGTCCGAGTTTGCACACACTTTGACTGCTCCAAGGCCTTGGATCTACCCACTGCCTCTGGTCCTCCAGGGTTACTCAGGAACAGTCTGATGATGGACTTGGGAAAGACGATGAGAACTGCCTTCTTCTAAGCTCTACAGATGTAAACAGTGCACCTGCAAGTGCCTCATCCACAGGGCATTTTCTTGTAGTGCCATGATCCTAGCAAAGCCCCACCACCACTTACAGACCTGTGTGATTCAGACATCGAAACAAAGGATGGACGTTTGGAGCGCGCACTTTAGTAGGTCTTCAAAAGCCACAAGCTATTAAAGATTTTGAAAACTAGAACTGGAAAGGCCGTTGAAACATCATACAGGTTTTAATTTCCTCAAAAAATAAATATCAACCTCTATCATCCACCTGAGCAAAAACCTCTCGGTCCTTTTTCTTTATTTGAGCAGAAAGTTTCTAAAGAAAACCACTGTGAACTCTCCTCATCCAGGATTGGCCCATTTCTTGCTCTTACGTCAGAAAGAGCCACTGTGATGTCTGTTGGAGTCACTGGCTGGGCCGAGGCGTTTGTCCAGTTGTCCCAGGAAACGCTTTGGTGGTGACCTACAGAGAACTCAGATGAAGCTAGCTAGCTCTGTTTCCTTATTTTGTTTTTCAACTTGTGTTGTCTGCTTTATGTTTACAATTTTGGCTTTATTTTTTTTTTTTGCTATTTTATTTCATTCTTTTTTTTTCTGTTTTGTTAATTTTGTTCTCCTCCCATCCCCCACTTTCCCTTTTTACCCTTGAAACATCTCATTTCATTTTAAACTTTTTCTTGTCATGTCTCATTGTTTTTCATGTTCTGCTTCTTGTGTTTCCTACGTATTTTGCCTTTTCTCGTTTTAATCCTTTGATTTAGACAGGACTATTAGGCTTCTACAGCTGGTGTTTTTTTTTTTTTACAGATTTCCTCACTTTAAATTTTTTATTCCTATAGAATTGGTTTCAGTGGTAGTTCATAGAATGACTGTTACCTGTTCATAGTAATAGCACAGTGAGTGTTCATTTTCGTTTGTTATTGTAGGTGACTAGTCAGTGTTACTGGTATCAGAGAGAATAGAGGGGTGGGTCCCCTCTCCATGGGAGAGCCTGCAGCCTTGCACAGTGAGGAGGAGAAGGAGGAGGAGGTCCTCGACGGATACCAGGTCCTCAGGACCATCGGCCATGGCAGCTTCGGTTGGGTAAAGCTCGCACAGCATCTGCAAAGCGGGTGCCAGGTGGCTGTGAAAATCATCGCCGAGCAGGATCAGGCCTCCCCCAGCTTGCAGCAGGTGTGGGCAGAAGTGGAGATCATGAAGGGCATGCACCACCCCAATATCATAAGGCTACAGCGCATAGAGCACACGACAGACAGAGTGTATATTTTCATGGACTATGCGAGCCAGGGGGACCTCGAGAAGTACGTGGCAGAGCACGGCCGCCTGCGAGAGGGAGCGGCGCGCCTGATGTTTAATCAGACATTATCGGCCGTGCACTACTGCCACAGCAAGCACATTGTGCACCGAGATTTAAAACTGGAGAATCTCCTCTTGGATGCTGGGCTGAATATTAAGCTAACGGACTTTGGCCTGAGCTGCAGGCTGCGTGAGGGGCAGCAGTTAGAGTCCTTCTGCGGGACTCCCCAGTACTGCGCCCCGGAAGAGTTCCTAGACGAGGAATTCGACGGCTATAAGACAGACGTGTGGAGCCTGGGTGTGGCCCTGTACACCATGACAACTGGGGCCCTGCCCTTCACTGGGAAGAACTGGGCGCAGCTGGAAGACAGTATCCTGTCTGGTTGTTACCAGGTCCCATCCCATATGAGCCTAGAGCTTGAGCACCTGGTGGAGTGGTTACTGACCTATGACCCCAAGGAGAGGCCTAAGGTGGCAGACTTTATGGGCCACCAGTGGCTCAGCTTGGGGCAGAAAGAACCTGAAACAAGTCAAGTCGCTCTGGGTTCTCCCCAGGAAAAGGAAATACGTGACTGCCTGGTGGGTCTGGGTGCCCAGGCATGGGTCAGCCGCCTCTCCCCTCGACTGTGCTGGGAGAAATCCCAGCGGCAGGACAGCGCCAGACTGGAACCAAGAGAAATAACAAATGTGGAACCTTTCGGTTCTCCCCAGGATCCAGAGGTTCAAAAATACCTGGCAGGCCTAGGCTTTTCTCTGGGCTATAGGGAACACTCCCTGCTCCCCAGCTGTGGAGCTGGCCCCCGCCTCCCAGTGCTGCAGAGGAGCCGAGCCAGGGGGAAGCGCTCACCTCTGGCTGCTCCCCTCCCTCAAAGGCGCCACGTTGCCCAGCGCTTCCCTGATTGTTTGGACTGCAGGGGCAGTGCCTGTGAGCAGACCCTTCCTATGCCCCCACTGCTGCTGCCCAAAAGGGACCGGGAGTCAGAGCCAAGTGCCCGCTGGCAGGGGTTCCCCAGAACCGATGGTCACTGGCCTGGCATGCTGCGGAGGAGCCCCACCCCCAGGCCACCTGCCAGGCCAGGTCCCTCAGCCTCCCTCATCACCAGGAGTGATGAGGACCAGTTAGAAGGTGGGAGCTGCTCCTGGGCAGCAGTGGCAGAGAAGGAGAGCAGCCCAGAGAGGCAGCTCGTGGAAGATGCTGGGAGCTTGGCTGCTCCTGTTGCCAAGAGCCAAGGCCGCCAGGGGCTCTGCAGGAGGATCATGAACTTCCTCCTGCAGGTGTGTGGTGTCCTACCAGCCCCAGAGGCCCCTGGTTAGCCTCAAGCAGCTCCAGAGTTGAGCTGCTTGAGTTCTGTTGCATTTTACTTACCTTTTTTTCAAGAGTGTTATGAATAAAAAGCCTAACGGTATGCACAGGTGGGATGCAGATAGATCATAGATGTGCACCGTGACCCCATTTTGGCACCTCAGTCCAGGTGAGTGTCTGAGGGTTGCTCAGCACTGGGCCAGAAGGACTGATGGAAAGACGGCAGCCCACGGGGCTGGAGGGCAGGTCGGCAGGGGACCTTTACTAAGGAAGGTTCTGGGGTCCCAGTTACCCGCATTTCCATGGGAGCAGTGACTGTGTGGATGGGAAGCCTCTCAGGTCTTCCCCTGGGAGTCCAAGGAGCACCCAGGAAGACCCCTGGCCCTTCTGCACAGCCTAGCCCTGCTATGCGCATGGCCTTTTATGTGCTGTGATGTACCAGCCAATAATCACGGCCTGGGATGCCCCTGGGGCCTCCCCAGTCGGGTAGGATTGCCCCTTGGCCTGAGAGCAGGGCTGGAGCCAGAGCAGGTGGGGCACAAGGTGCCAGGCTTGTCACAGCCCTCTGTGCCCAATGTTGGTCCCCCAGTGTGGTGGTGTTTCCAACCATGCCTGGCCCCATTGCCTCCAGGGTAAGACCCAGTCCTCCAGCTTTTGGGACATCCCTCACTGTTCTCTGCAGACCTTCTCAACCTTCACTCGCTCTGCTCTCTGCGCACTGAGCCATCTTGTTTGCCACACATACTGGACCATCCTGGGGATCCTGTAAGCACAGTACTGGCCACTGCAAAGGAGGCATGCAGGCAGCTGGAGGCATGTGTGATAGGAGCCCATGGGACTGCGGTGGAGACGCTGATCCTGTGTCCCATTGCTGCTTTCGGCTCCGGGTCTCACCTGCTCTGTCCCCCAGTGTAACAGTTTACGAGTGTTCTCGGAGTCCCCCTACCTCTCTCACCCCACCTTACCTGGTCACCAGCTCCCCCCTTCATCGTCCATGTCCTGTCCCTTGAAGATGTCTCTGCCCCAGGGTCCTCATCAGGGCTCGCCAAGCACAGCCTCTCTCCCATCTGATCCTACCCAAATGAGAGCCAGTTTAGGATTCTAGATCTTGGGTCAGCTTTCTCTTTATCCCCTACTCAGCCTTTGGCCACACACTCTCCCTTCACAGCATGCCTCCAAAAGGCAGGCACAATGCTGCATGGGATGCAGGGCCACACGGGCAGTGTCTCAGGGGGATTAGGAGTGGTGACCCAGGGCGGAGGGCAGATGAATGCCTGCTGAGCAGCCAGGACATGGCAGTGAGCCGTGGAAGGGGTGAGGCTGTTCTGGGCTGTCACTCCTGTCACCTGCTGGCAGCTGACTAGTCAACACAGCTGCTGTGCTCCAGGTGAGTCTCAGGAGCTAGGAGGCAGCCCTGAGCGAGGGGCTCTGAGACCCTCAGAGTGCTGCCTCCCGCATCCTTTCCTGAGGATGCAAGGGCAGCAGACAAGAGCTGGGGTGGGTAAGCTTGGAGACCCACAGGCTGGGAAGCAGCACAGCTGGGCAATGAGCCCCCACATGTCCTCTGCTGCTGTCCTAACACTTGCCTGCCTCCCCCTTCATGTTCCCTGCACACAGGCAGCTGCAGCACAGCCACCCCGGGGCCATCACTCCAGGTCGCCTCACAGTGATCAGGCTCACCACCTGTTGTACCATGCCCACCTACTGCTGGGAAGTGGCCACCATCACATCATTTCCAGGGGATGAAGGACTTCTCCAAAATCCTCCTGAGACTTCAGGATGCTGGCCTCTGAAACTGTCCCCAAGGCACATGACACCTCCCCAAGGAGAATGGCTGCCCTCCTCAGCGGGCTGAGGGGCCAGGATGGGGACCGCACAGTGGACAGGCAAGGCCAGGGACAAACTTCAGACAGGGGTGGGGTGTGGATAGCTGATAAGGAGCAGGGCAGGAGGGAAGGCAGTGTTCTGGGTGCAGGGGCCCAGGGTGTGCTGCAGCCTGGGCTGAGCATCTCCACGTGGAGGGGGGGTGGGGGATGCGACAGGGGGAGGGGAACCCCAGACCTGGCCTGCCACAGCCCTGGTGCCTCTAGTGTTTTTGTGGAAATTTGGTGCCTGTCTGAGTGCACCAGGCTTCCATGATATCCATGCGGGTCACTCAGGTCTTGGGAAAGGACCCCAGCAAGCCCTGCATCAGGAAGCAGGGAGCAGGGAGTCTCACTTTGGTGAACTTGGCCCCCCATGTGTCTGGGTTGGAACATTCCATGATTCAGGCACCTGCACGTTTCCTGAGCCTCACTCAGCTCACAGGCTGTCACCCCAGGATGCTCCCAACATTCGGGAGGCTCCCGAGCTGAAACAAGAGGGGGCTGACCAAGGGCCGGCGATCCAGAAAGGCTGCTTGGAGGAGGAGACTTCTGAATCAAATTAGAATGTCTGAATTAAAAATCATTTCAGTTCCATTCTAATTTCAAAATTAAACACTAATTTTAGGTGAAATGTGACTAGTTTTCCAGGTTGAGTCATGTTGTAGCATGTATCAGTACCTCCTTGATTTTCACGTCCAATGCTAGTCGATTGTTCGAGTACGCGGTGCTGTGTCTGTCCATCCATGTGCTGACGGACGGTGGGATTGTTTGTTTTTTTGGCTATTAGGACTAATTCACTAGCT